TCTTTGCAAACAAATATTCTTTTCACGAAAGAACGATGACTGTCTCAGAGACAGAATAAAATATAACCGAACATGCAAGGTCACTGATGGTATGAAAGAAAGGCGAACCTTGATAACACACTTTAAAGTAAATCTACAGCAAACCTTTGAAATGCTTGTCCCGTATTACTCACACCGAATAACGTACACATGGATCTGAACGATCTGAGAGGTATAACAATTGTTTTAGGAATATCTTCATCAGTAACTGGGATGTTGTGAAAAGCCCAGATCGGGTCAATTTTAGTAAATATTGTCATACTTTATGGGTCGTTCGTGTATTCGTGATTACTATGCTCTGAGTACGATTCCGAGCTATATCACTTATAGGACAGTTTGGGGAGAAAAGTGAATAGGTGATTTCAAAGAAGCATAGTCTTAACTGAAATTCAATAAGCCGTCTCAAGAAATCGTTGCGCTACCACCGAAAATACTGAATATCATTCTGTCTGGTTCGCCACTGGTTTCTGTTAAAAGAGTAGCGATATAATTATTGGGTTGGCTTCAGTGTATGGACCTTAGTAGGTTATATCGTTCATAGGGACCCTGCAGATCCAGTTACACAGTGAATTGCCATTCTTACTTCTCCGGCTTCAGATTTGTTAGGGAATGGTGAAGTAGACACTAACATAAGTGGTATCCTGATGAGTTCTGTGATCCTGAGGTCCTTTATTCTTTACCATTAGTAAAGATATCATTGACGATTTTAGTTAATCTCTTGTGAGACCATTCGTTTGAAACTAATCTACTCTTGACACACTCGAACAATTAAATGCCGTTTAGTTATGTGTATTACCTGTTCTACTAACTTTATTGCTTCAAAGCCGTTAACTGGTGTTCTTACACTTTGACACATCTCGGAAAACCCTGTTTTGTATGAGTACACGTTTTGAAGATGACTTCAGCCTGAAGAGTGTTCATCCTAAAAGCGTCTTAATAGCATACAAATGTTTCGTACCTCCAAACCCCTGGTAGAGTATCCGATGGGCCCTCCTACGATACGCCTATCGTCACCTGACAGATGTACTTACTTACGCCTGTAATTCCCAACGGAACATAGGCCGCCGACCAGCATTCTCCGACACACTCTCTCTTAGGCCTTCCCTTCTAGTTCTATCCAAGTTTTGTTCATTCTTTCATTCATCTCTTGGCGTTATGTGTTGTATGATCTTCCTCTTTTTCTTTTGGCCTTAGGGATTCCAAGTGAGGGCTTGCCAGTCATACAGCAGGTCAAAAGCTACCACATTAATTCTTTAGATTTACTTATTATTACTGTGGCTATTATTACCATTACTCTTTACCGTTAAAAATTATAACCGCTCTGCCTATTCTATGAATTCACAAAATTAAAAACGCAGTCGTTGTGATCATGTTAACTTATATTTAGTTAAGAAAAAGAATGGTTAACGGAGTATACGAACAACAGACTTCACCTAGGTTCGGGAATCCATTACTCGTCCTAGTCAAACGTATTTTCCTGCATTTTCTTTGTTCTCTTGCCTAATTAGTTTGGTTTCAGGTAACAACACACATAAGTGAGAGTTTTTAGCACAAAAATACTGCATCCGCATGCACTTTAACCATCGTCCTTCCGAGTGCTGGATCACACACTGAACCAGCAGGTCACATCTGCCCATAGTGGGTTTGACCGTGATAATTTCTTACTTTGGTCAGTTGTTAGAGTTTAATGACCCTGCATCTTACCGCAGTTCGATTGGATGAATGATTGCCATTTAAATATGCATACCGCCAACCGACGTATATAATTACGGTCTTAAGTCACGCTAGTGAATAACGGAGTTAAATAAGCCAAATACGAGAATGAATTTTGAATACGTACAATTCATACAGTCGTCGATCTCCAGGAACAATTAGGGAAACGAAGTAAAGGAAGCTAAGACGAGAGAGTAAAGCGAAACAAAAAAATGACGCCCATTGAAAAAGGTGAGTGAGTCCACTCATTTTGGTCAAACGTGACTTGATATTTGTAGCCAAACAAAAATATGTTACAGACAAATAATGAAAAGAGTAAATAGTTAACACACACACAATCGAACAAAAACAGTCAGAGTTGACAAGCGAATAAGTGATAAAGTAAGAACGTGATTTGGGAACAATGAATAGATTGGTCTGCCCAGTGTCTAGAATAACCTGTGTGGGCTTGACGCAGTAACAGCAGTCTGACAGGTTTTTAATGGTTGAATTCATGAGTCAATTAAAGCTAGACCGCCATGGAAAACCTGAAAACACTGAACCGATAGGTCCTGGGTACGAAGCTCGCAAAGAGTGATCGTGGATGCGCACTGCTGAAGAGTCCCAAACCAGGACAAAAAAACAGTCCATTTCTTCCAGGTTTTCAACGATGGTTTAGCTTTGATTGGCTCATGAAGTCGACTATTATATTACTATGATACCCACAAAATCCATTTCTGATCATAACAAGTTTTTGGTTTGGAAAATTACTGAACCAACATTTCTATGGAAGTTGATTCTTAGATGAAGCTGATGTTGTAATTTAAGTTGGATCATTAAGGGTTGGCCGAAAATCTGGCGGTAATATCAAAATATTATAACCCAAGTATCCGTTAGCTTCCTCATTTTGTGTGGGCATCATATTTCCTAAAGTCATAGGTTGGACGTTGAAACGTTTGTTTGTTTCATTTGAGACCTCACACTCAAACTGCTCTGTTCCTCGTTCTGAATAAAAAAACCTACTGCGACCTCTAATCTGGCCTTATCCATATGTAAAACGGAGGTTTATTACCATTGCTAAAATTTTTTGCCATGTACTGAAGACATTGCATCGATTATGTTTGGGAACGATGGAATGGTCCTCTTCACTTAATGTGTCACAAAGTAAAGTTGCCTTATCTGTGTCTTTTCTGTTAGATTCATAGATCCAGGGTTCTTGAAGATAACTCGTATTGAAGATCACTTTATTCTTTTCTCGGCTTAGTGAGTTCAAGAAGCTCGTTTCCTTGGAAACTTTTCACGTACGCTTTACGAGATAAGAAGTCTATAATCACATCGGTTGTCTAGAAATATATTGAGTACTGGAATCAAGCTTTGGGATAAAGATCAGTTTTCAAGACTTACCAGAAGTGTACTTGTTTGTTAGCGAGCTAAGATTATAGTTAAGCTGTAACGGACCAAATACTGGAATTTCGGCAGTTACATGAGAGGTTTGTAGCCGATTAACTGAATGAGTTATCCACCTTCCAGTGAGCGCTGAAAACGAAGTACAGCACAATATATAGCTAGGATTTTACTGCCTAAATCGCTACATATCGGTCCAGTGTCTTTGAACTTTTCGGCAAAAATGCCAACGGTTGCTGAGTGTCATTCACCCATTGTTGTGAGGCTCATCCGATTGCTGAATTAGATGCATCTACGGTGATTCTGATGGATGTTTTGGCGTTGAGGCGTGAAAGTTGGTGATAATGCCCTTCGCCGTAGTTAATGACTTTCTCTCGTTTTCGTCAAAGTTGGTGACTGTCGCATGCTAGAGAAGCTGGTCCGTTGACAGTCGTATAACGCACGCTCAATTCCATACGGGTCTCTAGCTAAATATAACTGATCAGCTGAATGTATGCAGTTTTTTAATTGTACTAGGTTCTGGTCTGCGACAACAAAATATAGCGAACTGGTTTACGCAAAGGAGGACAGTCTTTTATAAGGTATCATAGAGTTAAAAACTACTAATGGATATGCTGGCTGTAATGTACCTGTTCAGACCGTTCACTAATGCAAAGAGTTACGCGCCTGTGACCTCATCCTGGTGTAAGTCGGTCTGTGCATTGCGGAACCGAGTTTCAGTATTATCAGGCTAGGATGGGATGGGTTGAAAGATGGAGGGTGTAAGTGTCTTAAACTTTTCCAGTTTGAGTGTGCATTTTGACATTTTAAAAATGAAAATCCTAAATATGTGAAAAAAATTTGGGAACACGAAAATCATATCACGAAACGTAGAAGAAATTCAAAAGTGATGTCACATCATGGAACAAATATACAGTTTACCATTTAGTGTACCGAATTACGACGAGCTTACTACTAAAGATGTTACGGATATTATTTTTATTTTATTTTTTTATTATTATTAGCTTTATTCAATATTATAATTTTGGTACAATATAGAATTCTCAGCGCAAAGTATTTCAACAAGTTTCCGTTTCTTTCTTCTTAGTCGGTCCTGGCGATAAATATTGAGGAATCGCCAGTTAGATGTTAGCACTTCAGTGAATGAACAACTGAATAATGTACATTCTTTTCGTCGTACATTGCCAGCAACCATATTGTCTCTTATTGAGTTTTCTGTAACTTTGACAACGAAAGGTTGTACACTTTTCAGAAACGCAGCAGAATAGGTTATGCGATTAATAAACATAATGATATATTAAAACAAAACAACAATAGAAAACTTGTTGAAATATCTAGATGGCAGGAACAGGTAGCCCAGATGCTCAAGCAGGCCGCCCTAGATATAGGGCATAGATATAGGGTATGTCAACGCTGTTGTTCATATTAGCCCTAGAATCAAGGATCCCGAACGGACGTGAAAGATGAATGAGTTTGAAAATATATTTGGAAGATAACTGAAGTTTCGAGAAGTATGTAAGTTAAGCCGGCTAATAATCATGAGGGGTGTGTAGCACGGCAGAACTGATGGTAATCTAGTTTAGGTGTGTGACTGACTGCTTTCATACATAGTGTGTCCAATAAAATAATAAGGTTTGCATCAATGTTGAAGAACTACAGAACTACTTGAGAAATAATAAGTTTATTAACCACTACATGACCTACCAGTCAGTTACACATAACTCTGCATCAAGCTGTCTTTTTATACCTACGATGGATATTTCCGTAACTGGCCATGGATATTACTTCGAATTCGTTTGTGTTAGTGCACGATGTGTTGAATGAGTCTTTCATGAACGAAACAAGATATGACTTTGGAATTACCCCGCGTTTATTCAAATGACCAGGCTACGTTGACCTGCAAGTTTGTCTGAGCAACGTGATACATGGTTTTCCTTTGATGGGTTCTTGAAATCTCCTGACTCTCTTACAGCTGTAGAGTAATCAATAAGAAGGACACACCAGTTTTGTGGCCGATTGATATGACTCCAGTTTTAAGGAACGTTTGAATATGCCATGAGAATAGATATCCCATTCAGCTCCGTATATTACATCTATGCTAACCCCGTCTGTCCGATGGTGATAATGAGAAGCCAAATGCAGGTTGAGTTAGACGAATTCACCTCGGGTACTCGTTTATTCAGACAGACAATAAGAGTGAAAAGCGGGATGGGGAAGACAAGTAAACTAAAGGAACTTGATGAATAGGGCGATACACATGCTCATACACAGTCAAGTTAATGAGTAAGCAATTGACAAAGTCAAAATGTGACTGAAGAAGAATGAACAACTTGGTTTGTCCGGAGGCCAGAATAACCCATATCGGCTTGACATAGCGTTTTGACGTTATGGATGACGTCAGTTCGTGATGAAAGCTTTAAATCTGTTTCCTAACCCTAATCCTCAGCTGAAAATCATAATTCTAGTTCATCGCACTGGTTTATAACCCTCGCCTAGCATTTTTTACTAGGTGGACATTCCTAATGTCACTTTAACGTTGCTGTAAGGTCGTCCATAAACTATAGTCTCATTGAGATTGGATTTCCTCAAGATACTCTGTAGTAGAAGTAAAATATTGGTACTATAATTTTAAGTAAGAAAACAAAGCAAAGATAATGGTGAGATTTTGTTCGATAGTCGTATAATGATGTTATTCTAATATTAGGGTGTATTTTATTGAGTTAAGGATTCTCTCTGGATTTTCACTCGGTAAACCACATAGCTACCCCTCGAATGCCCTGGTACGGCTGGTGATGGTGAGAGTCCGCTCGCCCTTTCATATTGCTCTTACATGACCTTGCGTATACAGGTATTACAGGGGTAGTCTTATTCACTGTTCTCTCGCTGCGGCGTTGTTGTTAATAATACTAAGGGGACAAAAAGCGAGTTTTTAGCTATTTAGCCTGGTTGGTGGATGTAGAGGATTCACTTAGGGTAATTTGAAAACCCTGATTCCAAACCAATGGTGCACATGGGCTTCAGGATCCTGAGGGAACAAAGGGTGTATGAACCTATTGTTGGTGTTCGAATACTGTGGGACTGCATTTCCTAACATTGCCCTACTGTCTTGTGGACTAGACCCTTAGTTTATACCCTGGTTCTGTATTCTGGGTCGTGAATCCTTTACCCGATATAACGTGGCTAGTTTCATTATCGTATTAACGTATTGTAATATATCTGATGGTGAGAAAAATATTTTAAAGCATCCGTTGTATCAACCTCAGACACTAAATGTAGTCACTTTACCAAATAACTACGATTTCAGTCATGTGATTTCGTTGATGTACTCAAAAAGTTCCAAGTCATTTCGGCTTCATCTGCCATTTTCTTCAAAGATGCTTCTGAAATATCAGTGGTGAAATTAATCAGTAGTGTTAGGTTTAAGAAACTTTTACTGGTTCCCACTATTGTGTTAAATATGAACAATTTCTTTTTTAAATATTCAAGATTCTTATTGAGAAAATAAGAACAACATATATGAGCGAACAATATTGTAAAGTTTAGTGAAGATCTAATTTGTTTTTAGCTTTTCGCTCTCCTCTTGGGTGTTTTGTGTACTTTTAAGATACATCAAATGAAAAACAGTAAAATACAAATCAAAAGTAATCACAAGCATGTTTTCTGATCCATCTGACTTCATTTTTCGTGTGTCTATCTATTTTAAAGGGAATAATCCCAATCTGATACATTCAATTAAATGTCCGATTCAGAGGATTCAGATATTGGTTTGCTTGTGCAAGCACTGCCAGTTTCGGATTTTGATTTGAATGATCCACCTAATCACGAGAAGGCCCTTACATCACCTGATGAATACTTAAAATTTGTGCGGTATGTTTGATAAATAATAATGTTAATGATAGGTATCAAGCTTCATCATTCCCGAGTGTGTTATGTTGTCAAAATCCGCCTACAGGTATGGTCAACCAAACGGCTACTTCAGCAACTGAGTATTTTAAATCGACTGACAATGACATTCAAAAAACTTGCAAGGTCATTTCCACGAAGATTTCAAGACATTTACAAGAAAATCAAATCACTCATTTCCGTAAAACTGTTGATGTAATAAACTGTCTCATTTTTATTCATTGTCTCACAGGAATACCAATGTTTGAAGTCACTAGTTTTGAGAAATTTCGATGATATGGTAAGCAGTCGTATATAATATTTATCTTCACAATATTTCATGTAGATTAATGTTAAAAGTACTTTGATAAGTAAAAACCCTAGTGTTGATGTTGCACACTTACTATTAAAGTTGTTTCAAGATGAAGCTATTTGATTTCTGCAGGTGATTATTGTAGGAAGCAACTTCCTACAGGTGTAACTCTAAGCTATTCTCTAGACTGTCGAGCACATAGTTTTGATATAGACAAAGTCAGAACAAGTAAGCTATTAGGCTTGATAAACTTTCTGTTTCGAACAGTAACTAGAGGATAGGAAAAATGAGTCAACAAGGCGAATGTTGCTTTATAATGAACATAAAATTGTGATTGGTGAATAAACAAGGCATAGTCATACAAAGTCAAAGAAAGTTAATGCAGTGGTGGGCGTTTCACCTTATCATTGGCAGGTTCGTTCATCGATCACACTTCACAATTATGTCACATTATTAATGGCTTAGATATCTGTTCGATTCTTCTGAAGTAACTTACCATTCTATTGGTAGTGTTAGCGGGACATAGACTAGATTAAAGCATGCTCAATGCATGATTGCTTTGGTGCACGCTGATTGGCTAATTCTTATCCAATCAGCACTAGTCGATAGTTGGAGAATACTCTGGAATCTTCTTATGTAAAAACTATAAATATACTGACGTTTTCCCTATTGTGCTTCTGACTTGCTTCTTACTTCCATCTAACCTTGTTATTTGGAATATAATCTCTTCCTGTTCAACCGTGTTTTGATTTGGGGACTTGTCGAGTGAATCGGTGTCCGAGAATACTAAGCAATAGGAATAGCTGGGTCATAACCGTAAGAAAAAGACTTATAACAGGTAGCTAAGAAGAAATGTAAACTAACAGTTCCGTTTGTAGTATGCAATTGTGACAATAAAAGGTGGATACATTAATTCGTTTGAATATTGTGTAAATTAAACTTTATCTTAAATTGGTATATCAGATGATGTAGTAGTATGTGTCATTCAAAAGAATTGTTTGGAATGGTTAAGGTAGTTAACCCCCAAAGTTGGAAAAGCCAGAGACATTTAAACCAGGACTTGACATCAGTCCATGCAGTCAATGACTATTGTTTCGAATCATATCAATAGTTTCAGGGTTCCTTGTTAGATTCTGCACGACGATGGTGGTCTCTGTTTAAATATGTCATTGTTGCCTCAGAATTGACGTGGGATTGTGTTCGTTTTTCATCTTTTAAATCTTGAGTTATAATATTCTAGAAATTTCATTCCTCTGATATTACTGTTCTTTCTAAACCATATACTCTATGATCAGTTTTCCAAGGTCTCTGGTACTAGTTATCGGTTTCCTCTTTTTGTGCTTATATGGTTTCCAAAATTGAACCGATTCATATCTGTGCTATGTTCCACATTGCTAGTGAATGACTAAGTAACATAATAGTAGAATGAAATATAAAAGTTTATATATACTAGGTAGAGAGATAAATGCAACTCATTTACCAAGTACAAATTCTTGTACTCTGTTTTGAGCCACACTGCGTAAAGGCTAGTGATACTACTTGTTTATTCAAACCGAAGTATGTTGAGCAGGACTTGAGTCTGCAAACAGGTGGTTAAACGTTGAATGTCTAACCCACTACCCCATTAGGAATATATATACAACAGGACAAAAAAAGGTCTAAGGCACCCTGAATATCATATCACAGCAAAGCTAAATTTCACCACACTACCTAGATCAACTGGTGAGATTAAAAAAACGTACGAATGTGAGACCATTAGTCCGATCTAATTAGTCATACTTATAAATTAACGTTTTATAAACTACTTTGGTGCATTTTTCTCTGTAATTTTGTTTTCACAGACTAGAACTGTTATTCCAATAACTAAAACAACAATACTTGAACACACTCCATCCTTAACTTGGATCGCTCAACGAACCAGGGTAGTATTAATGTTCACTTTTATTTTATCTATCTTATATTTTTCCATTTCATCATTTAGTCAGAAATTATGACATTGATTAATTTGGTTGCATCCGTATGCACCAAAAAGCACTGGAATTCCAAATTGGTAAGTTAATTTAATTTTACAGGTATGAGAAAAATAATTATAAAAAGATCATAATTTTCTGGCAAGTGAACATAGGCTTAATCCAAAATAAGGAAACACAGGTTATAATAATTTTGTTGATCCACTTAGATGATAATATTATTCTTTGTTAATTCTATCGAAGCGTCCAAGTAACCCCGATTGAGATACGCGCAAAATCGAAGTTCCAAAACAACGATTTATCTACAAAAGCGGTTCTTTATTAAATAATACACAAAATTTAGTTACAAACCTCAACTTGTGAGGCGTCTAGGCGTTTAAACGCGTCGTTCAAGAATGAAAATAGCAAAGGCTTCGATAGTCCAAAGACAGCCGATAGCTGTGTCTAAATTTGATAACAGTTTATGAACAACCGAAACTCGAACCAAGAGCAAACAATATGGAAACTGTTGCATTTAAACAAATGCATCAAACTGTGGATAACCGTTACAGTAATTAAATTACAGTGATTATAATGATAAATACAATGATAAGTAAAATAAACGTTAAAGATATATGTGAACATTCCAGAATGTTACAGCACAACTTGAGGTACAACGTAAGTGTGAAAATTGTTGGGCATACAGCTGCCTACTGAATGTAAATAAGTAGTATAAAACAATATACAAAAGAGTAGAAAAGGAACATGTAGGAACAATGTAAGACAAACTTAACAGTCTTAACGTAGTAAATTACTGTATATATGATTTCAGAGTTTGATATGATGAACAAAACTTGAGGCTAATAGCCAGGTCTTAATTATCGAATAACTGATCTACAAACTAGTTTCCTTCAGTTGCCTAAGACATTATGTGATATTTATCGTGTTAGCGTTTTGTATGGAAACATGTCATCTTATCTCACAATAAAACCACCCTCTCTGGCTATTACTGCTGTTTTCGATTTCGAATTGTTCGAGGGTCTACGTCAATAATACGATCTCGTGAGCAGCCAACATTTGACCACACGTTATATAATTATACACCATCCATCGATCAGTGATTGTACTCACTGATTCTAAGAATCAGAAATTTGTTCATAAAATAATAGAATCATCCTCTATTGTAAAGTCTTATCATTTCTTTAGTAAAAATGTTTATGTACAAAACCACAGTCAAATAAGAATGTACATTTTTAATGTTTCATAATCTTACAAGATTTTCTCATTGGGTTAAATTAGTAAAGATTACCACATCTTGGTGCAGTAAAAGCCTTCACCAGTTGTTTATCCGTACTTAAATGAACTCAGAGATATATCAGCTGTGGAGTATTTACTTTCAATCTAAAAATAAGAAGATCACTTATATGTTAAAAGAAGTTGATATAGGAAACAACGATTTGATCGATTGGACTACGATTGATATATAAAATTTTTCGTCTGTGGCGTGTGACCCCATTTTGAGATGTAATTGTATGACTTAGTCACTTAGTTATGTCTGTTGTTCATAAATGTCTAGTTGTGTTGTAGTGAACAAGAACTCAGGTGGGGAAAAGCAATTTATTGTTTTATACAAAATTACACTTCGTAAAATATGAAAATCATGCAATAAATCATTATTTAGACATTTTCCTTCAGTTGTCGTTTACGTACTTCCTAATTCTCCCAGTTCTATCATTATTCCAATTACTCTGTGTTTACCTTCCTGTTCGTATTAATTCAATCTTATGTTGGCAGGCATTTTGCTTCCCATTGTGCTTCATACTAATATCTGTCAGCATAAGTAGTATGCACCACAGTATGATATTGTAAAAATGTGTTCACATCGTAAATTATTGGTTAATTGATGTGAAACCTTACTTAGTTCAAATTATACAAACCTGACTGTTAATAAATCATATAAAAAGTGATATATTCCTGCATCATTTTAATTTACTATGATTGTTAAATAAACTCGTATCAATAGTCTTTGTGTTTTTAGTGCACATCGTCGGATTCAGAGTTTCAGTACCAAGAACAAGTTAGCTAAGCGCTCCTCGGACATAAAAAGTGGCAGGCATGACAGGAGTAATTAGTTAGATATAAAAAACTTAAATTAAAAATCAAGATATTTAAAACAGGGGTTCAATCAACTATCATGTTCAAATATGAGTTAATTTTTCCGGTCAATAACCACTTACCTCCATTACTACTACTATGTTAACTATCGTTTAGCTGATTTTTGTCCCAGAGCAAAAGCTAGTTCTATATTTATCAATTAATATAACTTATTATTGAAATAAGTTTACAGTAAGTATCAGAATTATACATGGACACCAAGTGTATGTGTGAAAATTGAGTTCAAATTCTGCGGATATTTTATGCTTATGATCTGTTCTAATTACTTAGGCGTTACTTATTTGTCCTTCCTGTCAAAACTATATTTTACATTTACATTACCGAATCTCTTTAAAAATGTACCGTAACTCGGTAACTTATAGCTAACCGAATTAACAGTTTGTTTTTCATAACCAGACATCACATGACTTGACAAAAGATCTTACTTTCCTTTGCCATATTTATTTGCATGTGTAAAATATGGTGTTTTTTATCAATAGAACGTGTGGATTTTTTCTCTTCTGGTTGCTTTGGAGCCACCATTTCATCCAGATTTATGCCATGATCTTCGCACTATCGTTAAACGATGCCGCAAATTAAGACGGGTAAGGTATATATTTTATTTATAACTTTTCTCTACAGGATTTCGAGCAGTCATCATTTCCTACTACTACTGATAATAATGTGAAACAGTGCAGCGTTGTCGCTGAAGATATTGAATTTTTCAATTTATGTATCAATCTTATATCTCATACTTTTGGTCAATCTGATCTAGCCGACGAATTAACTGACTAAATGATTTCTGTCTTTCTATATTCTTTTTTTAACTGGTATTCACGTGTAAATAATAATTTTATTTCACACATTTCTGCTCTTCTTAATTTGAACTATCTAACTAGTGATACACATTGGAATTAAATATTCCGTTCAATTTATACTTTATTCGTATGCCATTTTAAAAAACTATTATTACGAATTGAACTTACTCCCTAATTTAATTTTCTTAGAAGTTCTTTTGTGGTTACGTATAAATCAACGAATTGTATAAAGCCTTGATAAACTTAAGTAACCGGAAGTATAATTAACGGATGATTACTTGTATTCCGTTTTATTGTTAAATAAATCACTGAGATTATGGAGAATATTTGTAGCTTGGGATGAATATTTTGAAGGCATTTTGTTCTCTGAGCTAAATAGTTTATTCGTGAACCTTTCATCGGCTTTTCCGACAACATTATCAATACACATACTTCAATAAGAGGTGATTCATTAAAATTTCTTTACAAATGACTAGCATGTTGTTTCGTTGAACTAGAATTTAGTTGCTTGTTGTGGCCGTTGTTTACATAGCTATTTCTTTTGCTTTGACCTCCGACCTTGCAGCTGTTTATCCTTTTTCTTTTAAGTTAATAAGCTGAGTCGACTTCTATAGGCCTAATAATTGGTGCATCCCCAGAATCCGGACTTTTAAAAATTCTCCAACATTACTTGCATTTTCTTTATCCAATGTTTCCATGTTTTCCCAGTCGATCTAATTTCCAATGTTGTCTACATGCATTGATATATGTAAAGCTATGTCATAGGTTTAAACCGAGAGAGGCGTCACTTATTAAATTGTACACTCGTGATACCATCAAGAAATACACGATTAAACAATTCAGCTCAGAGGACACGACACCTTCAAAATAAGTCACTTTTAATATATGCACTCTTTAAACTATCAGAAAATATTGTATCCGAAAATATATAGTCGTTCTGGAATTTTTGATGCATAGTGTAAATGTCGATGTTCGAGCTAATGGTCATATTTCATTTGACCGTTTCCTGGCCTTTGGTTAAGGAATGTAACGAAAAGTCCATCTGATCACTCACTCATCTTTCATAGTAAGTCTCATCTTAAATCATCACTGTGCTTATAGAAGTCGGTCAAGTATAAATGAACACTTAACTTAATTTTCTGTTCATAAATAGCAAATGACTATTTTGATACCAGTGGTATTAAAATAAAGTCAACCGACGTGATAGTCCTTCGTAGTTACGTCATCTTTTAATGTCATGTTCTTAATATTAAAATAATCAGTTCTTTGTTACCAAATCAATTATTTTCGCTAACGTCCAATGTTAAATTATTGATGAACAAAGCAACCAAAAAAGCGTTGATAATCAGTTATTTTCGAACTTGTACTGCTGCAATATTTCCCTTTTTCAAGTGAAATTTTTCTAATAAACGGAATACACCCATTATGACATTAAATAAGAAAGAAAGATTAGTTCAGCGAAGAGTTCTCTTTTCGGCGAATTCATTTTCAAAGCTGTACAATCGCAAATATATATACTTATTTTTACAGGGTGATAATAATACTGATAATAAACTTATGATATACATGGTGACAGTGAGGTTAAATAAACAAAGGTATTAGAAAAATTTTTTTTAGAAACAAGGAAGGTTTGATAGATAATGGCTTAGATAGTCATCGGGTAAGAGTAGCGCAGCATGATAAAATAACATAAAATGTTGAAACAGAGATGAAATGTAATCGGAATGATCGTTGAAATAAAAACAAACCGGTTGGGGGTACAAGATTTGAAGGGAAGATGGAAGGTGAAGCAGGTGGCTGTAAAAGAACAAGAGTAATGAGAAAGAGAAAAAAAATTTTAATACATTAAGACCACGGTAAAAGAAGAGGTTGTACCAGTCTCTTTTGTACACATAATTCTGGTTTTTCAAAATGTATGGCTATTGCCTCGGCAATGCAAAGGAGATGTAGTCTAATTGTCTTAGGAAGGTTTCTACTTACCTTGTAGATGACTTTGAACGCAGAGTCTGTCTTGATTGAGTGACCTGTGTTCACAAGGTGTTCGATTATAGAACTTCTTATTGAACCGCTGCCTCCTCTTCTTAGCCACGCCGGACAATGTTCTTGAATTCTTTTGGATAAAGTACGCATCGAACGACCTATGTACCTAGCTCCACAAGAGCAGGTAAATTGACGTCCTTAAGAAAATGAAAAAAGAGCAGTTAATCAACGAACAGGTATTTGAGCACATAAGACCAACAGCATCGATAATACCGCGATTATACGGTTTGCCAAAAATACACAAATCTGGCCTACCTCTTAGACCGATTCTCGATATGTCTGGATCCCCTTACCACCCTATAGCAAAGTGGTTGGCGAATCTCTTAGAACCCGTTAGAAAACTCATTTGTAAACATTCTGTACGCGATACTTTTGAGTTTATCGAGCACATAAAAGAAGTGAATGTAAGTGGCAAAATTATGCTATCTCTGGATGTGGAATCATTATTCACTAATGTCCCACTTACAGAAACCATTAATTTTATCTGCAAGTACATAAACAATACTGAGATAAACATTGGGATACCTGAGGTTTATTTGAAGGAATTATTACTACGTTGTACTTGCAATGTACAGTTCACATTCAACGACGTAATTTATAGACAGAAGGATGGTATAGCAATGGGATCCCCACTTGGTCCATTACTGGCAGATTGCTTCATGGTCAGTTTAGAAAACAACCAACTTAAAAGAATTATAGAAAACCTCCACTTATATATAAGGTATATGGATGATATCTTTATCATTTGTGATAACAAATGTAACTTAAGTGATCTCCTAAATACATTTAATAATTGTCACCCATCAATAAAATTCACAATTGAAGTTGAAAACAAAATATTCACTTCCTTGATGTAGATATAACAAGGAAACAAGATGGTACTTTAAAAAGATCTATCTACAGGAAACCCATATGGAATAGCCAGCTATCAAATTTCCACAGTTGAGTTCCCATCAGCCGAAAAAGAAACTTAATAATCACTCTCACCACAAGAATACGAAGAATCTGTAGCCCTGAGGTCGTAGAGGAAGAATTGAGTTTTTTAAAAGAGATACTTATCCAAAACGGATATCCTTCTATATTCATTGATAAGAATATGAAACCGAAAATGCCAAGACCACAAACCACTGCAGTAGAAAAGAAAATTTTATACATGAACATCGACTTCAAAGGCGATAGAGCCGCACATATCTTAAAGAGGAGAATTTCAGATTCCTTAAAAAGAACATTTTTCGCAGCAACATTGCGAATATTATTCTCCAGCCGATCACTGTTCGCCAATAATCTGAAAGATAAATTATCGCATCTGACCAATTCAATGTGCATTTACCAATTTACCTGCTCTTGTGGAGCTAGGTATATAGGTCGTTCGATGCGTACTTTATCCAAAAGAATTCAAGAACATTGTCCGGCGTGGCTAAGAAGAGGAGGCAGCGGTTCAATAAGAAGTTCTATAATCGAACACCTTGTGAACACAGGTCACTCAATCAAGACAGACTCTGCGTTCAAAGTCATCTACAAGGTAAGTAGAAACCTTCCTAAGACAATTAGACTACATCTCCTTTGCATTGCCGAGGCAATAGCCATACATTTTGAAAAACCAGAATTATGTGTACAAAAGAGACTGGTACAACCTCTTCTTTTACCGTGGTCTTAATGTATTAAAATTTTTTTTCTCTTTCTCATTACTCTTGTTCTTTTACAGCCACCTGCTTCACCTTCCATCTTCCCTTCAAATCTTGTACCCCCAACCGGTTTGTTTTTATTTCAACGATCATTCCGATTACATTTCATCTCTGTTTCAACATTTTATGTTATTTTATCATGCTGCGCTACTCTTACCCGATGACTATCTAAGCCATTATCTATCAAACCTTCCTTGTTTCTAAAAAAAAATTTTCTAATACCTTTGTTTATTTAACCTCACTGTCACCATGTATATCATAAGTTTATTATCAGTATTATTATCACCCTGTAAAAATAAGTATATATATTTGCGATTGTACAGCTTTGAAAATGAATTCGCCGAAAAGAGAACTCTTCGCTGAACTAATCTTTCTTTCTTATTGAAATTTTTCTAACTAAGCTGGAGTTTTGCTACGCTGCTGATTCGGCCCTGCTTTTATGGAGGTTTAAGTACAAACTTCTGAGGACTCGCGAAACAACGGACAACTGGCCAATATTCTCAGTTAATCATTACTTCATTTTGGTACATAGATCTACCTAATCTTGATTTACAAATGCGTTACACTTCATACATTAATATTAGTTGGTCCGTTTAATCGTTATAATTTTAGCATAGTCATTTGGTTAGAGATCATAATCCCCTCAAATTCCAGTCTGACTTACCATAGCTCTTTGGGATCTCATGGGACCCATATAGCTTCGCTCTACATTTTTACCTTGGATACTATTCTAAGTGACTCCACAAGATGACTACCATCGAATTTCTTCAGACCGTAAGATGGATAAACTGACGAAGGTCATTGAAGTTTTGAATCGTAACTTAACAGATGTACTTACCTTTTGTTTGCTAATGACTAATTATTATGAAGGTAGAGTGACAAATATATAACTTTTCATCTTGTCAGTGACAGAACATAGTAAATTTTGTTACTCATGAGTCTTAAATCTTTGAAAAGAATTGAAAATTTATGGTGACGAACATAAAAGAAGTATGGTTAAATCCAAAGGTGAAAACATTTCGGGAAACTTTCCATGGAAGAACTTCGGTTGTTTATTGAACTTACATTGTCGTAAACCTCTCAAGTTTTGTATTTTTTTCTGAACTACTTACAAGTAGTTTGCTACCTCATGTTTCACAAAAACTTGTGGGAAGTATTCTGTCACTAATTTAATTAGCATTTGACTATTGTCGGGTTCATAGTGTAAATGTTTTGACTGTGTGATTGGTTACTAAATTCTATGGAACGGTTGATGAAGACCTAACTAGAAATTTGCTTACGAAACCGATACCTAAATATCAACCGTTAAAGATTTAGACAACAAAACCAATGGACAATAGATTAAGTAAAATAACCCATAGTGTCATTGAATAAGAAAAAGAGAATTCAGCTCAAGTAAATGATTTCGTCGAAAAGAAAATTTTCCTCGCTGAATTCTCTTTTTCTTATTCAATAGATTAAGTGTTTATATTGAAAATATCTAAATGAAATAGTGTAATAGAGTCACTTATCAAATAACAAGTGAGTCACCTAGAATAAGAACAAAGGTTACAGTGACAAGTCAGCTTTCACTTTTGTCAGTCGTACTAGAAAAAAAAT